GAATAAAATACAAGTACTTTAAAAGGGGCTAACTTCAGGCTTATGTGACTGAGAATTGCATATATCCTTCTACATACTATTAGCTGTTTGCATATTCAAATTTGATGTTTCTTTTCCCAACTTATTAGGACCTGCAAAATTGGAGAATGAAGTTGGACACTCAGGTCAAGGTTTACCATGATGTAAGTATTAGCTATTTTTATCCGCAAATGTTTTTATTTTTTTTAATGATTGCTGCTATATGCGTGCGCATTTCAGATTTTTGGTTTTTTACGAGCGCTTCTATGTGCTTGTGAAATGGGCCAAATTGTTGATAAACCATCCTTTTAGTATGATTCCTCGTCCATTTGAAACATAGTGTAATCATTTTATGATCAATTGGTCACACCACCACAAGCTACATTTTACTTGGAAAAATATATTTTGTCAAGTATTGCTAGTTTCGAACAAAGTAGCCCTAACCTCACCTTTTTACTTCCAAATTTTAGCACCTTTTCCTCCATTTTTCCGGTAAAATTCAAGCCTCATCCCCCTTTTCTATGTTGTAATTAAAGTCCTGAATATACAATTATGATAAAAACATCCACGCATTGTAGCTTTTATTTTACAATTTACATTGGTTTATGGTGCTAATAAATAATAATATGTATGATTAATTTATCTAGAAAAATGTAAAATTTATAACTTCTTAATCAAGTGTTAGTAAATTTTTAAAAAGAAATAATATATTTATAAATTACCAACTAAATAATATATATTATTATTAAAAGAATACATCCTAAATAATAAAAATGTCCTTATTGGTAATTTGCAATGTCAAACAGCTATAAGCTTTCAGCTATTTACCAAACACTTATTTAAAAACCGCTAATGCGATTCGCTGGTCAAATCAGCTAATATAATCCGCTATCCGCTAATACAATCCGCTATCCGCTATCCGCTGATCGCCAAACAAGGTGCTTGGAAAATAAGGTGCTTGGAACACCAAACTTGAACCTTAGTAGTTATAAGTGAACATCATTTACCATGCTGATGTGACAGGACTTGAGACATTTGGAATCCAGATCAATTTGTCAAGTGTGTTCAGCACCTGTGTCCTAATGTTAGTACATTGACAGGACTTACAATTTTCGTTTATCTTTGTTACTTGTCAGACATAGATTGCTTTTTATTAGCATTGAAAGACTTGTAGCTTATTTAGTGTGCTTTTAAGCTTCTTGTATCAAATAGGTTTCTTTTGATTGGACTTGCTTATTTAAAAAGCTCAAGCTAATCTCAAGTACTTATCTTGGGAGTGTTTCAAATTTTTCCATTGAGATTTCTGTTCCATCAGACTGATAAAGCTAATTTTGCCAACATTTTCAGTATTATTGGTTAAAAGTTACTTTAGTCACCAGCTATCATCTTTTAGCTATCGTCTCGGAACTAACTTGTCTGCTGTAACACCTCTTGATTGTTTATTACAGTCTACAGGTCATTGGATATTTGTATTTGATCTTTTGAGCATCTTTATTTTTCCTCTTTCATAATGTAGGAGCTGTCCGAGCTCAAGAAATCACTTAATACCGAAGTGGAACAACTCCGGACAGTGAGTGATCCTCCTAATTCTATTTCCACACGTTAACCTTATTAATTGTTATTACAAGAATTTATTATTCCACTTGCTTGGTGACAAATGCAGGAATTTCGAGAGCTGAGGACGACTCTCCAACAGCAGCAGGAAGATGTCTCGTCCAACCTTAAAAGTTTAGGGGTCAGTGCCTTGCAATTATGTGAACTCTACCTTTTTCTTTTTTCTTGCTTTTGTTCTGTTTCTCATATTTCTAAATTCCATTCGTTTGTAACTGTTATAGCTGCAAGATGATTTGGGAGAACCGAAAGGGGTCGAGATTTTAAAAGATGTGGAGAATGGTAAGGAGATAACCCATGATCTGCCAAAAGGGGGTAATGGAAAAGAAATTTAAAAACTGATTGAATATCTCTTCAGTTGCTTCTGAGGTTGACCCTTTCATGCTGTTGTAACGTCCCGTAGGGTTGCCATTTCTGTCTGAGCGTAGACTTTACTCGTTTAAATTTCAGGACACAATATTTGACCAGGATCACTGCTAGTGATATCAATGTGATTTTTTTTTTTTTTTT